AATTTGCTCAACCCCCCCACTCCCTCCAGGGTCAATGGTACTGAAGAAAGCTCCTGCTGTGATGATGCACTGGAGTCACAGATACCATAAAATGCAGCACACATTACTCTTTTTTAATCCTCTATTTTCTGGTCCAGAATACCACCCTCAGACTACATTTTCGATGCCAGCACTCAATCTGTTTCAAATCAAAATACAGTTTCTCTTTTCAGCACATTTCCTTCCTTTTCCTATTTTGTACAAGTGATAAATAACAAGGCTGAAAAGAATGCGTGTCAACTTCAATTTTGCCAAACATGTCAATGTTATAAAAATGATCTTTAAAAAAATCCCTAGCAAACCCAAAATATTTCCACAATTTAAGTTAGATTACAAAACTGAACAGATAATTTACAAATAAACCCTGGTAGCCTGGAGAACCAAAATATTTTGTCAAGGGGATCCTCCAAGTTGAAGAGCTCAGACTGAAAAGTAAAACTGCATTCATGCAGACTTCTGTCGTTCAAATAAAAAGGCATGCAAACAGGCAAGGCAGCTATTGGAGGCTTTGATTAGATGCTCTTTGTGAAAATACAATGCTCAAGTCCTTCAGAGTCCTTCAGGTTTATGTATCCATGTGGAGCTTTGGGGATTACAATGGAGAACGAGGAGTTTCCTCACCTACTGCAGGATTGGACCGTCAGTCAGTGTGCACAGATTTTAGTGGGGAAATAGCCTTCTGAGTTAGTAATGTTATCTTCTTCACCAAGACAGTTTCAATGAAACAAATAAATAAACTTACACTTTTCCAAAACTGCATTCTCTGGTTATGGCATATTTCTCTAAGAAAATGTAAACAAACTTATCACTAATATAATTTATATGAACACCAGAGAAGTTGAGATTTTTATTCTTTTGATTATAGTGGTAACAATAAAGCAAGAAACCTACATATTGACAGTGTTTAAAATCAGAATAACTAGAAAAAGGTATTCACAAAGCTGGTTTGTTAATGAGAAATCATTTTGCTGCCCTTCTCTGGTAGATATACATTCACTGGTGTCACAGTTTCCAGCAATGAACGATGACAATATTTGCATTAGTTGTTTGAAAGGGAATAGAAAAGCCAAAATAGGTGAACTGAAACTGTTTTAACAGACTAAACAAGGCAAAAAGCCAGGGTATGGGAATTGATCCTTTTTTAATGCCAAACTGGAGATTTTTCTTCAAAGGTAAATTCATGTCAGTTATCTCACTACACGGAGAGTCAAATAACCTTTCTTTGTTCAATTTAATCAACTAAATTTTGAAGTGTAAGGAGCATTTATCTTTTTGAATGAAGAGAAATTCTCTATTTGCAATTGTTCTTTCTGGCCTCAGTAGTGAAGATGGTTACAGTTCTAAAAAGTGCTGTCATTTTTGCCATTGGTGCTGAGGGAGCCAAACGACAGAGTATAAATCAATTTACAGCATGTTTAAAGTGGGGAACAAAATGCATGAACAGTAATTTTAAAACTGCTTCAGATTATTATTCTTTTGTGACTAACTAAAGTGGGCTTCAACATCCTTTGAGATTTCAGTGTTAGGGTGATAAAATTCATTGCTTTTAACAAAAGCAGACCAGTTTCAGTATTTATTCAGTATATTGCACATACATAGCACTATACAGCAAGTGGAAGGTCACTTGATTAATCCTTGCTCCAAAGGTGTAAGTGGATATGATCGTGTGCAATACGAAACCAATACATATTGATTAGCGTGACAAGGTTTCACTGAACAGATGTCTTTTGAAAGGAGAGCAGAAGCAACTTGGTACAGGAGCCTTGCTCTGCACGCTCCTCTGATGGTAAGGTAAACCAGGACCTGACCAGAGCACTTCTTGGTCACTATGGTATAGAAATACCCTTATTGCCAACCTGGCTCAAATAGTATCATTGGAGAAAATTTTTAGTGAAGTCCATATAACACCTGGACCTCCCAAGAGGCCTCAGAGTACCCCAGTGACAAGGTTAGGTTGTTCTCCCAGACTGGTCATGAGTCATTGCACGGCATACTTAGCTGTTCTCTAGAACTGGTTCTTTTTAGGCTTGTAAAATGCTCCCACAAAACAGACTAATCTGGTTTACCCTGAAAGGGCTGTTTATAGCTCTGACCAGCCCCAAACGCCATGCAGTTAGTCACTCATGCAGGCAACCACTGAGTGTACAGTCTATTGAATAAGGCAGACTAGCACTTCTCTGTGCCAGAAGATTTGTCTCAAGAATACAGAGATGCCGATTTGGTGAGGGCCTGAGGCCTTGAAGAAGGTTACACAAGGATACATGCTCAACCCTGACGGACAAAGCTGTTGAAACTGATTTGATCTCACATTTCAGCTTCCCCTGTACCTGCCTGTGATAAATCCATACATGTGTGGACAAAAATCCCAAGTAATGAAAGTGTAAAAAACATTCCTCTTTGTTTTTTGGAAGAAGGTAGCATCAAGTGTGGGGATAATGTGAAATCACCGGTCAGGAAACAAGGCATAAATGCAAATTGAGAGAGAACGCAAAGAGCTGACAAATAATGCAAGGGAATCAGATGTGTCAGTTGTACTGACTTTCATGATCCTTTTCTCTCAGTCAATGAGAATGTCTTATTCCTGGCAAATCCACACATCTCTGAATCTGAGATTTCCTTTTAACGCTTTGTTGTGCTAGCAAAACCTAATGAAGATTTTGATGAAACACCCTGTCATACAGAGCAGCTTTCTGCTGAAGTCACCAGTGCCACACCACAAGGAAACTGGGGAGGTGGAGGAGGGAAGAGAATCAGCTTACATGTGCTCGAGCAGATCCAGGGTGTGGTGAACACAAGTGTTCCTCTTCCAATACTTCCTACAGCTATCTGCTGGGGCCTCAGTTAGCAAACCTATTTAAAAACAGGTATTGCTCAATGCTTATACTTAGGACAGTGTTTGGTGCTTCTCCCCATCCCCCAAAATCAATATAAGGCAGTTTAATATTGGAAAAGGTGACATTGTTTCATACAACCTCTAGCTACTGGCTCTGTTGTTTGTTTGCCTTTGTCACTGGGCTGATCAAAGCCTCAACAGCTTCACTGGATCTATCATCTGTGAATGTGTCTGGAAGTTCTGCTTCATCACAAGAGCTCACCTTTCAGGGCAAAGCATGCAGGAGAGCTTTTAGAAACTGGAGAGCCGGAGTTAACCATTAGGAGGCTCTGTGAACCTTCAGCTGAATACATCTAGGAGATGCCTGATTCAGCAGAACACGGATTCCTCTGCCTCTAAATTCAAGCCTGTCTCAGCTAAGCAGGTCCATAACTTTACTTATGGCAAATATCCTCATCTTCATTGAGATGACTCATGCTCAGGGAGTTGAGTACATTCTTAAATATTTTGCCGGGCTATGAAATAGCTCTCAGTAAAATGATCTGGTCACTGCATACTCTCATTTGAAATTCCCAAATTGGGAAGGTAGGTACTTTCAGTAATGAACACCTACTCTTGAAGGGGTGTCATATGAGATCTTTTGCCTTTTAAATATGGATGACAGGTTACTAAAAATCTATTTCTCTCCATTCTCTCACACAGAATTTTTTGTGGTGCTGCTATGTGCTGCATATGCCAAACTTTCCTCTGTGATTGTAATATATTTCATCTGGTTTAGGTTTATTATCTGGCTAAAGAAGAAACAGAAGCACATTTAGGTTTGGTTATTACATTTCATTGAACAGACTTGTAAACATATTGAACATTGACAACTATATTTAAATATAAGTTGGTATGGTGAATTCACTTGTTTGAAAGCTTAGCTCTTATAAAGACATATTTATAATTATTCAGTTTCTTCATACTTTCATACCAAGTATGACACTGACTTCTGCACTCTCACACTTATTCTGAATTTCAGCAGAATCTCATTGTTGTTCCTAGTTGTAGCTATATTTTATGGAAATCAGTTTCACTCAAAATTCTTCAACACTCTCACTGGCTTCATTCTGATTTGTATTTCTCTGTATAAGCCTAGTAATTGAAATTTCTTTGTGACATTCAGTTTCAGGATGAGCACTGATGTTACAGAATGAACACACTTTATTCCTGTTGAGACTGAAGTCTGCAAAGTCAGTGAGTTTCTTCAGTGCAAGGAGTTATGCATGCTATTTTTTGGTATATGAAGGGATGGGGCACATACTTGCAGCCTGTCACTTTTGAGTTGCCACTCATTTTACCTAAATGTTTTTAATGAGGCAAGGTAGTTCACTTGGGTACGTGATACAGGAGGGATCGTGTATACATGAGCAAGAAAAAGCAGGGTATGAAAACTCAGTCATATTCCTTGAAGTATTAGCCACAGAGAACGTGATTATTCCTCTGTTTTACCTTCTCCTTCTGAATTGAATAAGGAACTTAATTCATTCCACCTAAACGCCACGTAATTGACCTCTGCCCTCACCGGATATTCCAGAGAAATCACTCCTGCTCTTACAGCGGTGCAGCCGAGACCTGTTTTTGCCGTGGAGCTGTTTCTTAAACCTCGTTTCCTCGTTCCCTCCCTAGGACCGGGAACGCGCCAGGATGGCGATGGAGCAACTGGGAAATAATTACAAAACCCGTCTCTTTTGAAAAAAAAGAGGACGAGGAAGTGAAATCAGAGGGCTCCACCGCCCTCCGGGAAAAGAAAAAAAAAAACCACACAAATCCCCGAGCAGATGGTGAGTGTAAACACACCGGAGCGGAGCTGAATTCCTCCCGGGGCTGGCGGGGGGAACGGACGGAGGGACGGACTCGGACTTTTCCCTCTCCAGCTCGCCTCTCGCCCGGGGAAGGTGCTCCGCCCGGGGACAGACGGACAGACGCGGGCACGCGCAGTGACACGCGTGTACCCGTACACACACACACACGGCCCACCCCCACGCGTGCGGACAAGCTCATCACCCACCGCACACGGGCACACCGAGCCCGCGGCCGCCCCGCACCGCACCGCACCGCCCCGCGGGCACCGGCACAAGCACAGAAGCGCCGCCCCGGACCGCCCTCGCATCCCTCCCTCCTGCGCTCCCTCCCTCCCTCTCTCCCCGCCCGCCGCGCACACACACACACAGATACACCGGCCGCAAGATGAGGGGCGGACGGACAGACTGACGGGCTGGGGCGCCGCTGCTCCGCACGGATTATTCGCCGCGCGCCGAGGGAGGAAGGCGCCGGAGAGCGCCGACCCAGCGACCCGCAGCGGGGCGGGGGCGGCGCCGCGCTGCGCTGCCAGGGCGTCCCCAGCCCCCGCCGGTGGACGGCGAGCGCGTCGGGCGCTGGAGGAGCCCGGCCAGGTAACGCCGGGCAGAGCGGTGTCGCCGGGCAGAGCCGGCCCAGGCCGCCGGGCGCCGCCGGGTCCCCGGGCGTGCGGGTGCCCCGCGGCCGCCTCGCCCCGCCCGGCAGGTGCCGAGGTGATGCGGCGGGTGTCGCCCCGGGGCGCGGGCGGCCCCCCCTTGCCTGGCCTCGCCTCTGCCGGCGGCGGGGCGGCGGCCGCCGGGCGCCCTGCGCCGACCGCGCGCGGCTGCGGCGGCGGAGGAGGAGGAGGATCGCGGCTGCCGGTGCCGCAGCTCCGCGCTGATCCCCGGCGGCCGCGCTCCGGTGGCGGCGGGGATTAGCGAGGGCGGCCGGGCAGCGGGCGGCGGGGGGGACCCCGGAGGTACTGGCGTCTTTGTGGCGGGGCGGCCGGGGCTGTGCGCCCGCAGGTGTGACCCGGGGCCGGCCCAGCCCGGGGCAGCGGCAGCGCCGGCCGGGCTGCGGGGGGCGGCCCGGGGGGCGTCGCGGGGCCCGTCGGGCCCGGCCTGCGGGGAGCCGGTGCCGGGCGGCTGCACCGCTCCGGCATCGCTGATGCAGGTGACGGGGGAGGAAGTCCGTTTTTTATTTGCTTGTTTGTTTTTGGTGTTTCTTCTCTCCATTTTTTCCCCCTCTCCCTCCCTCTGCGTTCATTAAGCAATCTGCAGTTAAGCTACGAAGAAGATAGGGAGAAGTGGTTTCAGAAATATGAATGGGTAGGGCCAGGGCGCTCGCGGTCATGTGTGACATTTGCCTTGGATTGTAAGGCGGGAGCTGGAGGATGCTGTCTGTGTTTTCCAAAATCGCATGGCATGCTTAAAAAGTGGAGCAGATGGTGATGGCAGTGCTTATTATGGAAAAGATTCATGAAAATTCTGTATTTCCTCTAGACAGTTTTTGTGTTGCTTCTCGAGGCTAAAGAGGTTATCTTTTACTTTTGGCAAGGAAAAGAATGTTGCTGCAAGCTGTTTTGTAACAGGACAAGGTTATTTTGCTCTTCCACAGAGAAGGGAACCCCCCACCACCCAGTTTTATGTCTCTGTCTTGCCTTTAGGATTGACAGCAGTAAACTGTCTTGGCATAGACAGAAATTGCAGCACACTATTTTCTTATTGCACACCTTTATAATTGAATGGAACTAGAAAGGAGACTCAGAATATCCTCTTATTCCTCTCTGTGCCAGATGTGTTTTTCTATCCAGTCTATATTGCACTTGAAGTGTTAAACTCTCAGGGGGCATGGAGGTGGGAATGTGAGGCAAGGTCTACTAGTTACTTCAAACAGTTCTCCTTGCTCATACTTAAGAAGGAGAGAAAGAAACATGTTGTAAAAGCAGCTGAGGAATATATAAAAGTGAAATATTAATGAACTGGAAAAGCTCAGATAGCGAAGACATTGTGCCTAATCATTCAGGAGGGCTCTTGTTCTCTTTACAACTCCTCATGGTATGTGTGCCTGTAGTACAAATGCAATCGGTATAAAAGACAGTAATATTTGTATTTAACCAGAAGTAGTAATAATACTTTTTTTTTTTTCATTAGGGATTATCTGTAGTGCTTCCTTTAGGCATGTTTTTTGAGGCTGCTCTAAGACAGTGAATTATTACAAAAACAGTAAAAAAATAAGCATGTTTTCTTGCAAATGTAAATGGAAAGGGCTGACTCAGACCTGGAATAACTTTGAGGAACAAATAGCCTTAGAGAGTCCTCTTAGAGACGTGATGATGACTGTGTTCACCCTGAAGTGTCTCTCTTACATCCCAAACAGAGAGCAACATCCCCTAAATAGGCAGCACTGTCTCAGAATCTGCTGAAAGCGAGATATATGAACAAGGGATATTTTCTGCAAATTGGGCTTCCTTTACCTCTTGGAGTCTGGACTGCAGTGGTCTGAGTAGTTCAAGGAGCTTCCCCAGTTGGGTTTGGAAGGATACGAAGTGCAGCAGCTTTCTGCCACAGTTTGGAAAGGGAATTTATTTCAGTGGGAAAGTTATCTGTCAGCCCACAGCATGAAGTCCTGTTGCCCTGGCTCTGGTTCCTGGCAGGACTTTATGGAGTAGCTAGTGGCTTAAGGGAGGCCTGCCTTGTGGAGAGCTTAGTGCAGGCCTGAGTACACGTAGAGAGCTGTACCAGGAGGACCTGTAACAGTGTATAGGGTATATACCATGTCTGGGTTACAAGAGGTAGTGTTTGGTTTTTGAGTCTGTTAGTCACAGAAGATGTTGAAAAAGCATCTTGTATCTTCAGTTCTGTGCATATGGTTGTGTGACAATATGATCTCTTGTGCTGCATAAGCTGTGTGTGGTTGAATTTCTCCTTCTTCTTGGATTCAAATGTAATGCCTCACAAAAACCTCTAAAGTTAATAACTTGATATTGCTGAATTTAAGTTTTCCAGTGTTTTGAGGTTTTATTTTTGCTTACTAGAGTGTTTCATAAATTGAAAGAGAGATGTAGAGCTGTTGCTCCATCTCATGAAATTCCTACTCCTCCATGAAGGCTTATGGAAGATACTGTGGTTTTGTTGGAGCCTATCTGGAGTATTTGAAAGTATTTGAAAAGGCAGGGTTGCATAGGCCCACGTATCATTTTGGTGTTGTTGGGAATTAGGCCGATATAAGTCACTGGGAAAAGTGTTTTGTAAAATGCTTTTTAAAAAAAGCCCTCAGTGATAGATTTTGAAAAACATAAATCTGCATATTCTAAGGACGTGACATTTTCCCTGGTATTTTAAGTTCCTGGAATGTTTTCACTGTACTCTTGGAGATGTCCTAATAAAAGGAGGTTGTGTATTTATCAAGTGTTACAGACCTTTGCGGCAAGGGAAGAAGTGAATGTTTTTTCTAAGGTTGATTGACACAAGTCAATCATGAAATGAAATAACATTCATGTGTCAGTGAACATATCAATGGAAAAGGAATATTATAAACACATACAGTTAAATTATTAAGCAGTGCATACTTTAGTTTTGGAGTAACTACCAGCTTGTTAGGTGGAAGAAGTGAACTATATTTTCTATCTTGCAAAAGTTACTCTGTGTTATAAGATTCAGTGCCTCATGTCTTCCCCTTGAGAATAGTTTTACTGCCAATGGAGTGGCTCATCACGGGTTGGAAGGAGGGGAGGAACAAAAGGAAATATGTACATAAATAACGGCAAGTAGGGGTTGGGTTTGTTTCTTGAGAAGTAACTGCAGTTTCATCAGGTTTTTCTCGCAATATTGCATTTATTTGGCAGTTTTTTGCTGTGATAGTAAACTGGGTTACCCTGATAAAGTAAATAAGCATTTGTTTATTTTTATTTAGCTAAATGAATTTTTGTTTATTTTGGTTTTAGGCTGTTCATGTTTATTTTTATTAAAATTGTTTGGTTTTGTTTAGCTAAGGTTTCTTACTTTAGCTATTGAATGTGTTGGCTGAGATGGCCTGTAAAATACAGAACTTACAAGTACTTTAAATGTGCATTGTCATTTGTACTTGTAACGTTTCATGTGTATTTCTATTCCCTGTGTATTCAGCAAGAGCCTATAACTTTGAGAGTATGGAAGATGCAGCCATATATTTTGCAAACAATGATATTAAACCTCTGTAGCTGTTTGCTAGTTAAATGTTTACTTGTACATACTGCTTTTTGACTTGTTCTCACCACAGCTCTCACCACTACATGGAGTGTATTGCTTAGATAGTACTGACTCACATGCCGTGACTGAAGACTGTAGTTATCATTTCTCCATTATGAGGCAGTGAAATGATATTGCTTCCTGTGAAGTCTACTGTCTTTACCTGAAATGTGACTGTCCTATAGAGGGTAGTTGTTTTATAATAATATATGATAGTGTCAGGGAAAAGAAACTGCAGGCAAGCAATAAGGAAAAGCAGTCATGTCCTGAATGTAGAAAAAGCAAGATTTTTATTAAATGTGCGCTGTAGTCTGTTGCTAAAGACTAAAAGGAAAAAATACACTGTAAAGGAGTATTACAACATTTGAGTGATGATGGTTTTGTATCCAAATGTTTTTATATTGCCTTTGGATGGTACTATTTCTCTGTCCTGGTTATTGTTATGAAAGCTCTTGTGAGTGTTGAGGTAAGAAGGTGTGGTTGTTTTCCTCATATGTGGGAAATTGAAGCAGTGATTATGTTCAAGTCATACACTTGATCTGTGAAAAGATAGTTGAACTGGAATATTCATCCCAAGTCCCATAGTCTTAATGGATTATTTGTGTTTATATAGCTTGTTTGATAATTTGGCATAGATGTGGAAACTTCCTAACAGATCCAGCTGCAGGATTTGTATGTAAAGTTATGCAGCATTTTCGCCACAAGGACTAATTACTATTGGATTCTTTCTTTCAGTCTAGGCAAAAAAGCTTTTCCTGGATTTCACTTTGTTGTTAAGTTGGAGAGAAAGCAGTTCTGCACTCGTGGAATGTAATGATGCTTTTACATTATTTAAGGAAATACCACTTAATTTTTTATAATGCTCTAGCATATCAGGAATTTGAGATCCAGCTCAGTCAGTAATGCTTCTGAGGGTCACAGCTGTTTTCTAGTGGGAAGAACCAGTTGTGACAGACTGGTAGGAAGCTTTTAAAAACACTCTTCTCCTATAAATTTTGGTAGTGCAAATCATTGCTTCTGAAAGTGTATATTTCCAGCTATGGCTTTTTTCTTTTTTTTTTTTTTTCCTCTTTCACTCTTGTTTTTGAGCCTCTCTTGTGATCCTCCTTTGATGTTTCATCTTGATGTGATCTCTTCAAATGTTTTAATACAAAAATAACAGCTCTCAATTAATTTACTGATTTTGTATAGTGCAGTGAGATTTAGATTTGGGCGAGAGTACAGAAATATTCTGCAGGTTTCTCGTCTCTGTGTTGCCTGTGACGTAGTCCAAACTTGGGCATTTATCTATAAAGCAATGACATCTGTGCAAATGTCACCTTCCAGTGATCATCATCCAGGCCGGGAAAAGCTCAGACCCTGCCAAAGAGGTACAACCAGAAGGTACA